TTGATAATTGCTTCTTAGAAAAGCTAAATCTTGTCGCAAATCTTTGTTTTCCAAAATATTTATGCAATCTTTAATCGATTGAGAAGAATCTTCGCTAAACTCCGTACTACTTCCTCAAATTCTTTGATATATTTGTCATAATAAAATGTGGCCTGTAATCATGTTCCCCACCTCGTTATAATCGGCTCTGGGGGCAATGGTATGTTTGGAAATTTTTCCTTAAAATGTTGCACTCTTAGTGGGGCTTTAACAAAAATCTTTTTACCATTTGCCATTAATTTATTAACAGTAGGAAACTGCAAACGTATTCCTTCAGCCACTCTGTTTAAACCGTAGGCAATGCAAGTAGAGTGAATTAAATTGGGGTACAATATTTTTAGATTATTCCCTATTTTCAACATAAACGAGCTGCATCCCAGATCATCAATAAAATTTTATTCGCCGGTACGGTATTTGGCAAAAATAGTGACGTAAGACTGTCATTTATAAATCTGGTAATCGTATTGCCATTTGTTTCATCTAACATTTTCAAACTTACTACATACCCTCGACTAGGGAAATTTTCATTTAAGATTCCAACAATTAAACTTGCCACGTATCTTCCACAACTATCGGTTGTTTCATCGACAGCGTACCATAAATAATTATCTCCAATGCGATGTTAAATTTCGTTGTAAACTTGCTGAAACACTGGGCCTACATAATTTTTTCGGAGAGTACTTTCAACCGGAATATGTCGATTGCAGTGTTTTTCAAGGAATTCTTGAAGAGGGCCTTTCTCCAATTTTTTTAAAGGTATATTGGACTGGATCATCATTTTACATAAATCGAAATTAAACTGAAACTGCTCATCTTTTGTGGAAGCAGATGCAACAGATTCATGTATGGTCTGCTGTTTAATTTTAGAAACTTCAAACATTTTCTTCCTTTCTACATGAAGAGTCGTTCTGACATGTTGCGTCACGTTATATTTTTTATCACTTTGAATCTAAAACAACGTACATATACAGGATTAACAAAGGAAAATAGATAAAAAAAAAAAATTAGTGGGCTTACGGTTTTCACACAAGCTCTGCAGAATATTTTGTTGTATTCTAATTTTAATTCTGGAAAATCCCTTATCCAGTCATCCGGCGTCGATTTTACTTTCGGCATTCTTTTAAAATATTAGTAATATTACCAAAAAGAACTCAACATATAACAAGGGAGAACCACGTATAACACTGTACTACGACAGATGCGATAGACTGATGGTTGTGAAATAAACGGTTCATTTACTTAAAAGTTTCCATTAGAAAAATTTTAAGGTAGGTAGTTGGGTACAATAATCCTTTTTTCTAGAAAATCTTCAACGGTCTTGCCGCAAAATGCCGGAAAAGAACATCTGGTTAAAAGCTTTAATTGATTATCAACGAAAGTAAGGATTTAAAGTCATAAAATCTATGGAGTATTTTTCCAATCCTATAATAAAATTTTATTACCCAAACTACCGGAACCTATTCACAGAAAGGATCTTGAGTAAGTGTACTTCAATGGTCAAATCCAGGTAAAATGCATACGATACGATACGGCTAACTTACAAGTATTTGTCATCCCGACAAGGCCGGCATTTGAACAAAATATGCATTAAAACTCATATTCGTCGAAAAAAGCATTAAATAAGCATATAAGTTTTAATATACATAAAATTGAAAAAAAGCAAATAAGCATAAAAAAAAATGTGTCAAATGACTCCAAATTGTATCATAGTTACAGATATAAAAAAGTTTTGAAGTGCTTACATTTTTCACAAAAAGCATTACACCTAGAAATCCGCTCTCTAGTTATTATGCTCAAAGAACTATGGAATATAGTGCTCTTCTTGATCAGTATAAGTTTCAATCATTGGCAATGCGAAATTTCATTGGAAAATTATACATAATAGTGTTGGTTGTCCTCACATCCTATCGATGGTCAATTTTTATGTGCCATGTCTGAATAACCGTCATGCGGTGACATTTTCTTTACCTAAACCCAAGACTAACATATAAAAAAAATTCCAATAACTAACCTATAAAAGTTATATGATGATATTTTTCCTAATGAAATCAAACCAGTAACATTTTAATTTATGTTTTTGTAAGTATTTAAGTTGATTTTCTTCTATTATTACGTGCACTGGTAAACTGTTGGGCAATAAAGTTATTATTATTATAATTTCATTTATCAGCTAGTTTATGTGTGCCAATTTATAATACTCTTAAGTACAGTTTTCTTGGAATCTCCCCAATTTTATAAATGCCTACAGATTTCAGATTGAATTTACCATTCTTATAACCCAAAAAAAAAAAAAAAAATTGTTGGCTTTGTATCATGTGACGGTCGAAATATTGCATATTTTCTAAACAAATCACAACCCTTGAGAGTCTCATCATCGGTGACCACATATCTTTTGAATGACCTTTTTTTGTGTCTTCTACTTTCACCATTACAAACTGTTCTTTATATTTAATATGATTTAGTGTCAATTTAACAAGCTCGTGGCGGTGCCGAGCATAAAAAATTCCAAACAATTAAATCCCTGTTTCTAACAAAAGATGGGTTTCTGAATTCTCAAAAGAGAAAATTGATAATTGTTCCTTGTTTCGCTAGGTAATTATTTTTCTATATATGGAAAAAATGTTTCTCAATTTAGACTTGTGAACTCAATCAACAAAGACATGCATTAATTTATAAGTGCGACTCAATTAAAATCATTTCTAATTATCTTATTATTCAACGGCATTCCAAGTTACGCCTCTGCCTATAAGAGTTAGGTTCGAACAGTAAGATTCCATGCTAAAATGTTAGCGGTAAACAGAACACGTTTGTATAAATATTTCAATTTTCAGGAAACCATTTATCCTTTGTGCAACGTTTCACCGCCATTAAACCTCTCCAAAAGCCCGCAAATTCCAAAACCGCCTCCGTTCCGTTGCACGGGCGACATTTCCAAGCAAACAATTAAAAAAAAATCAGCATTTCGTTGTGATGTGCGTCCCATCGTCATCTAGCCGTCCGGAATGCGCTACCTTCGAAATGACAAAAAGTCATCCGGTTGCGAAACGGCTTCTCCAGCGGTAATTCCGATCGGTCCGCATCTAAGTATCCGTCTAAAAATTAAATCAGTACGGACGGTCCTAAAACAGAAGGCTCGCCGCCTCCTCCCATTAACGTTTTGGAAGAAGTTAACATTCTCGACTATCTGAATTAACCAGTTACCAGGCGGCTTGACAAAAGAAGTGCGCGGTCCGAACAAAAGACCGTCGTTTTTGTCGGTGTGTGTGTTTCGGCGACGGCGACCGGATTATATGCACATAATGTATGTCTGTTAGTCAGCGGTCCGACGGCGTATTTGACGAATCCGAGATTGATTGGGACCATCAGGGGCAGACCGTCAGACGTACGGACAGATATGCGAACGGTTTAGAACAAACGCCGGCGGCGGGAGTTGCTTTATTCACTTTCTTTAGACCGAAAATTGCATTTTTGTCCCCCGATAATTGTATGATTTTTTAAGTCCACTAATGTTCACTAGGTATATTCACTATGACAACAAAAATTGATAATTTTATTTTTTCCAAAAATCAATACAGCCACTCTCTGGTGTACGAAGATTTCTGAAAGGAGTTATAACACTAATTTCCTGTTAGTTATGTGAATTTCTTTAAAATATCTGGACCTTGGGTGTCTGGAAAATGACGCATTAACTCTCGGCTACGCTCGTTACAATCAACTGCTGATTCTAGGGAAAATAGTTAAAAAAATCCTTTTCGCATTTCGGTGGAGTTGCAATAATTTTAAAATACATAGATTCATTATCACAATAACTAATAATAAAACTTTTAATTAATACTCCTTTCGCCCATGAACATGTTTAGTTTCCGTTGAGGTAGAATGTACAAAAATATGTTTGTGTTGTTTTTGTAATACACTGACCGGCAAAAAAACCGGCCACCCTGAAAAATTTCGCAAAACCAAACTTTGAAAATTGTTAATTTAACTAGTGATCGTTATTTTATTAAAGAACCATTCACTATTGATACGAGAAGTATAAATTAGCCAAAAAAAGAAGACAAATAAACGCAGAATTAAATTTAATTTAACAAAATTACTCCTTACTGCAGAGTTCCATAATCTCTAAACAGTTTTATTATTTTTTATTAACAGATCAACCTGATCCAATAAACAATAGAAAAAAACAACGAATATAAACAAGTTGAAAATGACACAGGACGAAATGTATGCCGAAAAATTAACATAACATTTTGTTTGCTCAAATGAAACGAAACATGTTCCAGGTTATTTTTTTTTTTTTAATTTTCATGTTTTATTTCATTGACTTCATATTAATAATCCATTATAGTTGTATTGACAATAACGAGACGGACAGTAGTACAATGGTAAGAAATATTTATGGTTCACACCAGTTCACCCGAATTTGTCGGACAACATTTAGCATTAGGTAGTTGTACTGTAAAATAATGGTCATTTTGGTTCGTGATGGTCCCTATACGGACCTGGATTATTTTGCTTTCTAAGATCTGGAGATTACCGGTACGCGACGACTTTAAGTTGTAAATATCTCTTGCTATTGTACTACTGTCCGTCTCGTTATTGCCAATAAAATTTTATAAGGTAGAATGAAATTTCCAAAACTTTACGTATTATTTCTGACTGCAAAACCGAATATTCTGAATTCTTGAAAACGTTTTAAGGTTATCATAAGCATGGTAAAAGGTTAATAGGTTAATCAAAATTTGTGCGTTTATCCCGTCCCAAAGAATTAATCACCTCATCACAAAATTTTGCCGAATTAATGTTATTTAAATTTTATGGATTAACATATAGTTGCACTTGTGGTTTACAAATCCGATTACAATAACGATTTACCTTTGAAATTGATAAACCGAATGCTCTGGAATCTTACAAACGTTTTAAGGTAATTAGAAACATGGTAAATTGTACATCAAATTTTAAATTCAAAGAGTATTGGTAAAAAAATGTAATTTTCTTCCCGATTCTCTTTCTTGGATTCCTTTTTTAACGATTTTCGTTCTCGCGATTTTTCTTCTAGGGGTTCCCCTTCTTGGGAAATTCCCTTTTTCTAGATTTCTTTTTGGCGAATGTCCTTCTCGGGCGTCTTCTTTTCGAGCTCCTTTTTTGAGATTACCTTTTTCAGGATTTCTGTTGTCGTTATTCGCGTTCTTGGGATTTTCTTCCTCAAATTCTTCTGGGGTAGTCCCTTCTTCGAATAAACATTTCAAGATTCCCTTTCTTGAGATTCTTTTTTTGGGATTCTCCGTCTCAGGCTTATCTTTATTGAGATTCACTTTTTCGCAATTCACTCCCTGGGGATTCTTTAGGGACTTATTCTCTCGGGATTCTCTTTCTCAGGGTTTTCTTTTTTGGAATCCCTTTCTGGGGATTTTCAGGGTTTTCCTCGAGCTTCCCTTCTCGGGAATCTCCTTCTCGATTTCTAGTTCCATTCTCCTCGTTCTCGGATTTCCTTCTTTACATTATCCTTGTCAGATTCCCTGTCTTAAATGTTTCTTCTCGATCCCCATTCTTGGATTCTTTTTTTCACAATTTTCCACCTCGTGATTTGTCTTCTTGGGATTCTTTTCCTCGGTTCTTTCTTCTTGGGATACACTTTTCAGTATTCTCTTTCTCTAGATTCTATTTTTGAGGATTTTCTTTTTCGGGCGTTTTCTTCTCGGGCTTTTCTTTATCCAGATTACCGTTTTCGGAATTCCTGTTTTCGTGATTCGCTTTCTCCGGATTCTCTCGGGGACATCTCCTTGTAGGGACTGTTTCTTTCGGGATACTCTCTTTCTCGGGATTCCCTTTTTCGTGAACCCTTTTCTTTCATGATTCTCTTCCTCGGGATTGCTTGTGCCGGGGCTCTCATCTGGCTCTTCTTCTAGGAATTCTCCTCGGGATCTCCTTCTCGATTTCTCCTTCCAGACTTCTCATTTTAGAATTCCTTTTCTTAGATTGTCATTCTCGGATTCCCCGTCTTGGATACCTCTTTCCTAGTCTATTTCTTGGATTCCTTTTTTCAAGATTTTCCTTGTTACGATTTTTTTTCGGATTCTTCTCGGATTCTTCTGGAACTCTCTTGGGATAGACATTTCAGGATTCCTTTTCTCAAGATTCTCTTCTTTTAGATTCTCTTATTAGGGATTCTCCTTCTCGGGCGTCTTCTTCTCTCTTTTTTGGGATTCCCTTCTGGTGATTTACTCTCTCGGGATTCTCTGGGGGACCTCTCTTTGTCGTGACTATTTTTCTCTGAATACTCTCTTTCCCGGGATTCTCTTTCTTAAGATTTCCTTTTTTGTAATCCCTTTTTTTGTAATCTCTTTTCTCGTTATTCCCTCTCTCAAGATTCATTTCTGTCATAGTTTTCTCTCTCGGAATTTTCAGGGTTTTCTTCGAGTTCCCCTTCTCGGGAATCTCCTTCTCGATTTCTCGTTCCATGCTTCTCGTTCTCGGATTTCCTTCTTTACATTATCCTTCTCAGATTAAATGTTTCTTCTTGATTCCTATTCTTGGGTTATACTTTTCGGTATTCTCTTTCTCCAGACTTTGTTTTTGGGGATTTTCCTTTTCGGGCGTCTTCTTCTCGGGCTTTTCTTTATCGAGATACCGTTTTCGGGATTCATGGTTTCGTGATTCGTTTTCTCCGGATTCTCTCGGGGACATCTCCCTGTAGGGACTGTTTCCTTCGGGATACTCTTTTTCTCGGGATTCCCTTTCTCGTGAACCCTTTTCTTTCGTGATTCTCTCCCTCGGGATTGCCTTTTCCGGGGCTCTCATCTGGCTCTTCTTCTAGGAATTCTCCTCGGTATCTCCCTCTCGATTTCTCCTTCCAGGTTTCTTGTTTTAGTATTCCTTCTCTTAGATTGTCATTCTCGGATTCCCCGCCTTGGATGCCTTTTCCCCATTCCATTTCTTGGATTCCTTTTTTCAAGATTTTCCTTGTTGCGATTTTTGTTGGGATTGTCCTCGGATTCTTCTCGAACTCTCGTGGGATACACTTTTCAGGATTCCTTTTCTCAAGATTCTCTTCTTCTAGATTCTCTTATTAGGGATTCTCCTTCTCGGGCGTCTTCTTCTCTCTTTTTTGGGATTCCCTTCTGGTGATCTACTCTCTCGGGATTCTCCGGGGGACCTCTCTTTGTCGTGACTATTTCTCTCTGGATACTCTTTTTCTCGAGATCCTCTTTCTTAAGATTTCCTTTATTTGCAATCCCTTTTCTCGTTATTCCCTGTCTCAAGATTCATTTCTGTCATAGTTTTCTCTCTCGGAATTTTCAGGGTTTTCTTCCAGCTCCCCTTCTCGGGAATCTCCTTCTCGATTTCTCGTTCCATGCTTCTCGTTCTCGGATTTCCTTCTTTACATTATCCTTCTCAGATTAAATGTTTCTTCTCGATCCCCATTCTTGGATTCCTTTTTTCACAATTTTCCATCTCGCGATTTTTTCTTCTTGGGATATACTTTTCGGTATTCTCTTTCTCCAGATTCTGTTTTTGTTTTCTTCTCGGGCTTTTCTTTATCGAGATTACCGTTTTCGGAACTCCTGTTTTTGTGATTCGTGAACCCTTTTCTTTCGTGATTCTCTACCTCGGGATTGCCTTTTCCGGGACTCTCATCTGGCTCTTCTTCTAGGAATTCCCCTCGGGATCTACCCCTCGATTTCTCCTTCCAGGTTTCTTGTTTTAGTATTCCTTCTCTTAGATTGTCATTCTCGGATTCCCCCCCTTGGATGCCTTTTCCCCATTCCATTATTTGGATTCCTTTTTTCAAGATTTTCCTTGTTGTGATTTTTCTTGGGATTCTCCTCGGATTCTTCTCGAACTCTCGTGGGATAGACTTTTTAGGATTCCTTTTCTCAAGATTCTCTTCTTCTAGATTCTCTTATTAGGGATTCTCCTTCTAGGGCGTCTTCTTCCATCTTTTTTGGGATTCTCCTTCTGGTGATTTATTCTCTCGGGATTTTCTTTGTCGTGACTATTTCTCTCTGGATACCCTCTATCTCGGAATTTACTTTCCCGGAATTCCCTTTCTCGAAATTCCTTTTTTTTCTGTAATTATCTTCTTCTAGATTACCTTTTGGGGGTTTCCTTGGGTCTCTCTTCTCTAAGATTGTCCTTTTCGGCTTCCTCCTATTCCTGATTTCCTTTATTGGATTTGTTTTTCGCGATTTTCCTTCTTGAGATTCTACTCGGTTTTTTCTGGGGCTCTTCCTTAGGATAAACTTTTCAGGATTCGCTTTCTCGAGATTCTTTTCTTCTAGATTGTCTTTTTGGGGCTTATCCTTCTCAGGCGCCTTCTTCTCTCTTTATCGAGATTCCCTTTTTTTGAGATTCCTTTTGTCGTGATTCACTCTCTCGGGATTCTCTAGAGCACTTCCCTTTGTCGCGACTGTTTCTCGGAATACTTTCTTTCTCGGAGTTTTCTATAATTTTCTTTCTCGCAATTATTTTTTCCCCCCCCTTCCTTGAGAATACCTTTTGGGGGTTACCTTGCGCTCCCCTTCTCGGGATTCCTTTTCTGAGACTGTCCTAGATGCCTATTCCTGATTTCCTTTCTTAGATTTGTTATTTCGCCATTTTCCTCAAGATTTTTCTTCTTGAGATTCTCCTTCTCGGATTCTTTTCGGACTTTGCTTCTTGGAATAAATTTCAAGATTCGCTTTTTCAAATTTCTCTTTTTGGCGATTGTCCTTCTACGGCGTCTTCTTCCCTGTTTATCAAGATTCTCTTTTTTATAAAAATAAATATTTAATAAGACATTTATAAATTATAAATAAAAACAAAACTAACAAAAGAAAAAAAAATAAGTAAGCTCGTAATGTTTCCAAATTTTGATGATTTTTTGTAAAAATTAGTCATCAGTACTTGTTAAGATAATACTGATTTTGGCAAATGACTTACCCTTTGAGAAAAGAGAGGGTGGGTGGGCGGGGCTAATACTTTCTATGATAAGGCTGATTTTGGCAAATGACATACCCTCTGAGAAAAGAGAGGGTGGGTGGGCGGGGCTAATACTTTCTAAGATAAGACTGATTTTGGCAGATGAAATATCCTCTGAGAAAAGAGAGGGTGGGTGGGCGGGGCTAATATTTTCTAAGATAATACTGATTTTGGCAAATGACATACCCTCTGAGAAAAGAGAGGGTGAGTGGGCGGGGCTAATACTATCTAAGATAAGACTGATTTTGGCAGATGAAATATCCTCTAGGAAAAGAGAGGGTGGGTGGGCGTGGCTAATACTTTCTAAGATAATACTGATTTTGGCAAATGACATACCCTCTGAGAAAAGAGAGGGTGGGTGGGCGGGACTAATACTTTCTATGATTTATTATCTTCTAAGATAAGACTGATTTTGGCAAATGACGTACCCTCTGAGAAAGAGAGGGTGGGTGGGCGGGGCTAATACTTTCTATGATTTATTATCTTCTAAGATAAGACTGATTTCGGCAAATGACATACCCTCTAAGAAATTTAACTAAATTATAAGAACCTCAAGATTGTTTTAAATTGTATAAAAAAATAATAAATTCTAAAAAAAAACGGGGTACCAAAATCAACTCAAAAACAAGTCAGGTCAGAATTTTCCAAAAATAGAACACCAAAGTTCCAAAAATAATGCACCATGGGTACCCAAGAATCTCAAGAATTAAAAGAAACACTGCGACACTCAAGACTTTTTCAAATTCGTAAAAAATAAAACACTAAAAACTCAAAAGATTTTTTCAAGTTTATCCAGCAACAAAACACCAGATTCTTTTAAATTTATCCGAAAATAACGCACCAGGGAACCTAAAATTAACTACGAACATTTTAAACGTACCTAGGGTTTTGAAAACTTTGACAATTTTTGATACGTCAAACATTTTTAACTTCTTACTCGATTATTGCTGACTTGTACCTTCGCTTTATATCAGACAACCATTGTTGTCAAACGGAATTGTATCATACTATATTATAACTGAAATGGCAATTAAACATGGTCATTGGCGAGAGAAATATTAACTAAGTTTATTACTGATATTGTGATCATGAATGTGTTGTGTAGTTGTTAAACGTAACAAAAGAATCAATTTTAACATTTTTTTCCCCAGACTCACCAGACACCCTGTATACCCTTTCCTTCTAAGATCAGTAGTTATATTCGCTGTAAAACAATGGATATGTAGTTTTATTAGTAGCAACGCAAAGTATGCATTAAAAATAGTAAAATCAGCCGAGAACGCCTTCTCAGAAAATTTGTTAAACCTCTTCCAGCGACACCTGTAAATATAGAAACATGTCAATGTTAACAATATCTGAAATTCTTGGAAATATGATCCTTGCAACCGAGATTCTTAATTTTGGTTTTTCAATATAACAATTTGAATAAAACTCCAGTAACTAACGTGAGCGACCATGTTGAACTAGAAATAATAGAAGAATTTATAAACAAAAGACTTTTTTTGAGTTTTTGTGATGTGAGGTGGAAGTTCTAGTTGGCCTCATGTTTTCGATTTTTTCTTTCCAGATGTTGGAAAATATTTAACTTTATCAGAGTCAGGAGAAAGTCTGAACACGAAAAAGGATAAAAAGGCTGCGATTTTGAGAAACACATAACTAATAAAATTTCTTTGGAGGTTCCAAATAAAAAAAAAGTATTTTATTTTTGTGATTTTTGGTGCTTGGGAAAGACTTGTTAGACTAGTCTGGATAATATTAAAATCAAAAGAGAGTTTGTAAGACAATGATTGCAATTTTGAACGAAGAACTTAAAAATAATTTAATTAGATATAGTGGAAAATGAAGCTCCTCTTAGTCCTATTCCCTCAGTCGTTTCCGTCTTCCAACACGAAATAAAGTCCTCCGCGGCCGTCCAGCAACCACCACTCGTGA